TATAATAATAATAATAAATAAGAAAGGTGATCCTTAATTTCGATTAATTTTTTAAGTGATGCTAGCAATCTATCTGGTAATTTTGGAAATACTTCAACAAACTTTCAGGTTTTGAACCTTAATTTTCAGATAAGTACGATATTTTTTTAACAGTTGGGTACTTTTTGTGCAAATAACTACTACTACTGATTTATTCTCAAAATAGCAACCAAAAATTATATTATTTTTTTTGCTTATGTATTTCCAAAATTATGAAGGGGTATGTAGCATTAAATTCAAAATTGCTGAAATTAGGGAGTACCTTAATATTAAATGTGGGTGTGGTTACACCCCTACCTTGCAGCCCCATTATATATATGGACATGAAACGATTGTTTCGTCCGTCAGGGCGGTGAAACGGTTTTGCTGGGGGTTTCGCGTGACCTCGCCCTCCCATTTTCAATTATAAAAAAGTATACAGTGAGTACCTGAAAGAAACTACATATTGTATAAGATTATTATTATAATAGAAGTTAGGCAGACTTGTACAGTTCTTCTGTAGTGTTGTGTGTGAGTGTATGTGAATGTGTTGTCCAAAATTGCTTGTTGGATGTCTATCCTGTAGGTTCAAGTGGGTTGTGACCATGACCCTGTCATTTTAATAATTTTCGATTTACTTGAATTGTCCTATTGAAATTAACGTTTTAAAAAAATCGTAAAAATTAATTTAATTCATATTTTCATACTGTAGATTTAATCGCATTTTATTTTTGGAAAACAAAATTTAAAACTGATTATCAAAAAGTCCACTGAAGTGGATAATTAACTAAATTATTTACAATTTGAGTTTTTGCTTAGAATTACCCCCGGTGCCTTTTCAGAGGTACAAACAATGAATCACAAATCTTTGAAAACTGATGATTAGTTGTAAACTTATTTTAATCATCTATAAATTGTATGTTGTGTGAGTCTGATTTTGATTAATAAAACTTGTAGCTTTAGTATGCAAACGTGACGTTTCTTCAGTTGAAAATGAGCCTTGTTTTTATCGTTCCATTTCTACCTCTTTCAATTGAGTGAGAGTTTGTTATTATATGTTCAATAGATTTTCACAATATTTCAACTACATATTATCTCCCTCAGTTTATTATTCCGAATGAGTTTGATTAATCAGCAATTATAATAACAACAATTAAAATAGTTGATTGTATGCAGTATTGTGGTTTATTATTACTACAAATATGTATATCTCTCTGTTTTCAGTTTTTATATATTTTTTTACTATCTACATAGGTATAATTGTTAAAGAATTACCCTCTCCTCAATATCCATGGTTTGATTTTTAATTACATGTATTGTTCATGTATTTTACAAAATGATTCATATATTTATATATACATATGTCGTTTATTGTTTTGAGAAGTTACATTTTCTGTTTAAAAAACTATCAGTTACATTCCTCAATGTATTACACAAGGCCGCTACCGCAAATTTTCCTGTTAACAGTTCAACATTCCAGTTGGTACCTCACACCCATTTCTTTAGCCTTAGACCTTTGCTATAGGGCTAGATATCAGTCCATCTCCCTTTTTAGCCGTAAGTGTCAGGATGTTTTTTTTTTCAAAACCAAAGTTTTACTTTATTTATTTTCTACTTCAACTGAATTTATTAAATGCTTTAATTTGTATTTTTAGTTACACTTGTTTTTTAATAGAATCGGCCAGGGGCTGTCTATAAAATGCGTCACTAATTTCTCAACTCATTTAACTCCCTCCACCGGTTCCTTCTCCGTCAAGTTTTAGTACATAGGCATACTTCAGTATTTTAAAAGATAATTTTCTTGATTTTGCGTGTTATGAATATCCAAAAAAGTGATATTGTTTTATTAACAGCCCCTAAGTTATTATTTTACTGATTATGTTTTTTTTAAATTTGGTTTTGGAAACTAAATCCTTAGACTTGTATGTTAAAACTGTACTTCATGTTGATTATTGGATAAAGATGTACAAACATGTTGTTGTTGAGCTTCAATCGCTGTTTAAAGCAAACAAAAGAAATAAAACACTGACTCGTTAGTTTTTAATAATTTTAATTAGCTAAAAAAGATCAACTAATACCAAATCGATATGCAAAACACACATTCACACAAGACAGATGCGTTTGTTGTATTTTTGCTGCTTTGTCACATTTACCCCGTGACGTATTATCTACCTCATTTATTAATTATTAATCTATTTAGGATTAAATTAATGCTGCTGATATGAAACCAGGACCGACTGATGTTGCGACATTCTCTCTTATTTTAATTTTTGTTAATATTAATTAATTAATATAAATGGAACATTTTCAAAGAAGATTTATTTATTGATGGAAGACGTGTATGTACAATAACTAAAGTAATTTATTAAAAGAAAGGATCCTCGGTTTAATTTCTTTCAAAATGTTGTATTCATTCATAATATTTTTGTATATGTATTTCATTTTTGTAGCTCTTTACTAGAACCATGTTTTGACTGATTTTATGACGTGCAAGCCCTTGCTTATTATTGCAAATGTTATATCAAGACTGAAACTGTTTTATGTTTAAAATATTCCCATCTAGACTACGTGCATTCATCAAACAAAAAATGTGCTACATTAACTGAACGAACTCTTTTCATCCGCCCTTTATTGTTACTCTATGCTATCTTGTAAGTACCTGCGAATAGTAATCTCAAAAGTTGTTATTTTGCAGTTAATACGATCCTGGTCCTGTTGTCATATCAGAAAGCGTGTAGTGTATTTATAGTGTTATTATTTACGATTTAACTTTTTTCTCAGGGCACTTATAAGTATGTTGTAGGTTATAGATGGTTTATTAATTATTATTATTAATAAGTGTTTAATGTTGGCTATATTTCTGTATCAGTTGACGTGAAATGTTTTCCATCCAACCGTTTTCCTGTATGAAAAGATTTTTATTTTTTACAAAGTAATACAAAACTTAGTCCAAGTGTTAAACTTAAATGTTGAAATCAGCTTGGATTTTGCTGTTATTAATTGATCAACTGCTGTAATAGTTATGGCACATTTGTGTCCAGGAATCTTCTTTATATTGTATTGTTTTTGTTTTCATGCCGATTTGTTCTATTTCATAACGAGAATCCGTAAAAAAAAAACGTTGTGCCTTACAAATAATATTTTATTTTGTCGCAGCGCTTTTCGAAAATTGTTAAGTTTCAGCAATTACCATTTTTAAAATGTACCTATCTCAATGAAATGTCTATCAGTTATAAGAAATTTGAGATTAAAAATAAAATGTTTGAAACGTACAGAAACTTAAAATTACTGTGTTAAATTCACCTATCCACATTTCAGTTTTTGGTAGAATATGTGATGATGTTGCCAATTACTATGAGACGACCAATAAGGGTAAGTTTAAAATTTTCATATTGTACATTTAATCAGAAGAAATGTTTCCTCTATGTGGCATTAAAGAAATTTTACGATTAAATATGTATGTATTGGTATTTATGGATAAACTAAAAAGTTGTCATCGAATTTTTGAAACACATGGGTTATTGAGATTCACAGAAGTTTTAAAGAATATTTACAGGATACAGGTAAGAAATATTAAAGAAAAATAATAGAGACGTTTTACTTATTCTTGTATAAAGGAAAAATTGACAAAATGTCCGGTATTAGAAAGGATACTACCTAAATTCCTGGTAGTAAAATAAGAACCACATTGTAATGGTTGATTAGTATGCACTGAATTAGAATCCCATAAAAGGGTTAAAGTAGGGTCTGTATATTGAGGATCATCAACATAATTAGCTGAATCGCCAGACAGCAGATCGTCTAAGAAGTGATGAGCAAAGAACTCAGATGTCACGTATATGCAGAGTTCGAACATATACATAAATATATTCAAGATATCACATCACTGAGAAGGGGTGACTTATTGTTCGAACACCTTGAAACACTAACAGTATAATAGTTTAATGTTGTGAAGTTTTGGACTTCTATTTTATGAGTGTGGGCCAATATCGATAGTCTACTTTCTTTCAACAAAAAAAGAGCTGTAATAATAATTACGTTCTGTATAGGCCAGAGGCAAGTAAATGTTTAAAATTTGCGTTTATTTTAGCTTCCTTCTCGATTTATCGTTTCAATGCCTTTTTTTATAATCATATAATTCGGTCACCTTGCGTATATCTGGCTGTGAGACATACGTGTATCTGTAAGGTCTTATTTTTTTAAATCAAATCAAAAATTAAGCAGACAGTTATAATTGTAGTTTTAAATATTCCAATTTATAGGTTTATTTGATTTTTTTAGTTAATTTATAATAATAGTTTACTATCAACTTGGAAAATGAACTGTTTAAAAATAATTAATAGCAGATTTTATTTTACTTCTTCTTTATAAAAAGCTGATTACCATTTTCTAGTGGAAGAAAATTTTTCATAATTTATCTACCATATCATCTGATAATATTACTTCGCTGAAAAGATGGCGTAAAGTATTTGTACGTCATACTTATTAATAGATTAATGGGTGGTTTTCTACTCGTCGCTAGTGTATAATATGCGTTAATATTTTTATTATTCTAGATATGATATAAAAACCTGAAATAATAGAATTGCGTGGTGCTGAACATAATAAACTACTTAAAATCTAAAATTTCACACCCATCTTTTAAAATAGAGATAGCGTCTAATTGAGAATGGCATATTCGGTATCGAAACGCGTTTTCTGTTTTTTAAACGTTTTTATGTGGAATTTAAATGATTACATTTGTTTGTTGGTAGTTAAAATCCCAAAAAAAAATTAACAATTTTAACAATTGCTTATAATTATCAAATTGTAATAAACGTAGTGTTTTGGTTTAGGAAATGAAATAAATGTATTTGCAATGTTATCTATTCGTTCTCGTTTGAACGGCTTTTTTTATAGCCAAGTGGTTCGGGGTCACCTTGCCTATCTGGCCGTGATGTGATGTATATGTAATAAACATACAAACGTTCAGATATATTATAATATTCTGTTGTTACAAATTGTCTTCTTAAAATACGTAAAACAATATTTTTTACTACAAGTATTCAAATTGATTAGTAGGTATGTTATTGATTTACTAGATTGTATTTTTTTATTATAATAGTCTATAGTAAGTATACGAAAAATAAGTATGTAGGTACCCATATTAATCGTCAATGATAATTAATTGGGCAGTAACACATTTTTTTTACCTCTTCCTAACAAAATGACGATTATATTTTTTGTTGTATCAAAAAATTATTTTGTAATTATTGCATTTAGTCTATTATTTGTTCGTTTTCATTTTCTATTAAAAACGTCATAAATATTTCGTACTTATTAAATGCTACATAAGTAAATGGTTTTATAGTTAGAGGTAATTAATACCTATTTTACTTTTGTTTAGTTATCTAAATTTTCCAATTTAATTACCAAGTTATAATAAATGTAGAGTTATGTTAGAAAAGAAAATAAATCTTTATATTTTTTTGTTCTAATTTAAAATTGCATGTCTACTAAGACTTGCTGCAGTTAATTTTGTTTAAAATTGTAATTTTATTAATTGAAAATGTCTCGCACCGTCGATAAGTATTTCAAAGGCGCTCCCTAAGAAGCTTTCGATGGCGCCACCAGTCTTTATGTTTGCCGGCCTTGGGTACATTTAAGCTCTAGTTATACAGTAAAGAGCATGCTGCGCGAGCAGTTGTGGGAAATGTGGCGTTTTTCCGTGAAAGTTTATCTAATTGTGTCGAAAATAATGGTAATTAAAAACTGATCCACGAGTATTATTTTAATGTGATGTGATACGTATTGGATTATTTTGTTTTGGTGAGTTTTTACTGTTTTGTAGTTATAATGAAAAACTTTTGCTAGCAAAATTAATATCTAAATAAATGTAATAGAAAATGGGTTAGGAATAAGAAATAAAGAAAAAAAGAACTACTTTAATTACCATTAAAACATCACATCAGAATTGTATAAAATACATGGGCGTCCACAGAAAAAGTTTTAGTGGTAATTAGCGTGAGTATCTTTAAGTTTGATATTTGGTAAAGAAAAACTTTTTGAAAACTTTCACTTAATTTTTATTAAAATTCAGAAGAAGGATTAATGATTATTAATGAGGTTTCTCAGGGCACTTATAAGTATGTTGTAGGTTATAGATGGTTTATTAATTATTATTATTAATAAGTGTTTAATGTTGGCTATATTTCTGTATCAGTTGACGTGAAATGTTTTCCATCCAACCGTTTTCCTGTATGAAAAGATTTTTATTTTTTACAAAGTAATACAAAACTTAGTCCAAGTGTTAAACTTAAATGTTGAAATCAGCTTGGATTTTGCTGTTATTAATTGATCAACTGCTGTAATAGTTATGGCACATTTGTGTCCAGGAATCTTCTTTATATTGTATTGTTTTTGTTTTCATGCCGATTTGTTCTATTTCATAACGAGAATCCGTAAAAAAAAAAACGTTGTGCCTTACAAATAATATTTTATTTTGTCGCAGCGCTTTTCGAAAATTGTTAAGTTTCAGCAATTACCATTTTTAAAATGTACCTATCTCAATGAAATGTCTATCAGTTATAAGAAATTTGAGATTAAAAATAAAATGTTTGAAACGTACAGAAACTTAAAATTACTGTGTTAAATTCACCTATCCACATTTCAGTTTTTGGTAGAATATGTGATGATGTTGCCAATTACTATGAGACGACCAATAAGGGTAAGTTTAAAATTTTCATATTGTACATTTAATCAGAAGAAATGTTTCCTCTATGTGGCATTAAAGAAATTTTACGATAAAATATGTATGTATTGGTATTTATGGATAAACTAAAAAGTTGTCATCGAATTTTTGAAACACATGGGTTATTGAGATTCACAGAAGTTTTAAAGAATATTTACAGGATACAGGTAAGAAATATTAAAGAAAAATAATAGAGACGTTTTACTTATTCTTGTATAAAGGAAAAATTGACAAAATGTCCGGTATTAGAAAGGATACTACCTAAATTCCTGGTAGTAAAATAAGAACCACATTGTAATGGTTGATTAGTATGCACTGAATTAGAATCCCATAAAAGGGTTAAAGTAGGGTCTGTATATTGAGGATCATCAACATAATTAGCTGAATCGCCAGACAGCAGATCGTCTAAGAAGTGATGAGCAAAGAACTCAGATGTCACGTATATGCAGAGTTCGAACATATACATAAATATATTCAAGATATCACATCACTGAGAAGGGGTGACTTATTGTTCGAACACCTTGAAACACTAACAGTATAATAGTTTAATGTTGTGAAGTTTTGGACTTCTATTTTATGAGTGTGGGCCAATATCGATAGTCTACTTTCTTTCAACAAAAAAAGAGCTGTAATAATAATTACGTTCTGTATAGGCCAGAGGCAAGTAAATGTTTAAAATTTGCGTTTNTTATAATAATAGATTTCATTGCTATCGTAGATGAATATTCTTTGAAACAGTTTTCGGTTACTCTTCATAAGTTTTTGCTTTTTTTAAATTCCATTAAACTTTTAAGATGATAAGATTAGAAATTAACTTTAAACACCAATAATGTCTTGTGCATTTCAATGAAACACTAAATAAGGTTTTAATTGCTTTACTCATTTGAAGATATAATTCTTTTTCATTCCAATCCAATCAGTGAAGCAATTTAAAACTTGCTTTGTATTTTATTAAAATTCGTAGTATGATTACTATTATTTTTGGGTTTCAAACATGGAACATCGATGTAATCTTATGGTCGATTTTATCTCAATACTACATATTACGGTACATACTTATCTATTCCAGATCAAAACGCCTGGTTTATATTGCAATTTATTTTGGATTCAAACTTGTTTGAAATACTATCTAAAGTTTTGATGACGAATTGTTGTGAAAGGACATTATTAAACACAAATAAATATAATTGATGAAATACTTGGTAACCTTTTCACAAATTTATTGACGAAACTCGACAATTGTTTCGACAGTAGCATGTCATTATCAAGAGTATACATTCATATTTAATCAATTATATTTATTTATGTTTATTTGAAATAAATGAGCTGCCCTAGTGAAAATACTACAATACATTAAACACATTTTACAAGAAAACTACAACTTTCTACGATAAATTACTAAAACATTTTACAACAGTTTCTGATTCTCTACAACTTATTCCTATCTTCATTATGTTTAGGTACTACAACTTTTTACAAGACAGTACGCGGATTGGGACACTATTGTTACATTTCCTAGATAGTTGTTGCAAGTTGTAGCTCACTATAGGTAAACCTTAAAATTATGCCATATTACGAGAAAGTACAACTTTTTATGTCCCAAAAGTCTACAATTTTCTACAATCTTTTACAACTAAATTTAATCTATTCTCCGTCTAGTCACTACAATTTTCTACAGTAGTTATTTCTTGTGACATAAAACTGCAAAGACGACACTGCTTGTTGTATATAATTGCTTACAAGCCCATCGTGTTATTGCTTTTTTACATTTTTATAAGAGACGTTGAATGATGTCGAATAACATTGAATGTTGTAGTTTTCCATGAGAAACTACAACAAACTATGCCGTCTGCTTCTCGATAAAGAAAATTTTATCAAGTCTCATAATGAACGTTATATGTTGTTGAATTTCATGGAAAGTTGTAGTATTTTATGAGGAACTATGTATTTGGATTACGGCGATTTTTTACATTTTTATAAGAGACGTTAAAAGTTGTCGAATATCATGTTGTAGTAGCAGCAAATTCTATACGTTTTCCAATTGAACATTAATGTTTTTGCATAGTAAGCTGTTATTTATTGTTGAAAATTGTTGTTTATTACAACTTTATACAGTTTATGACGCCGGAAAAAAATGAGTCAATTTTTCGTAGAAAGTTGTAGAATTTTGTAATTATGAGTTACTCTGCAATTTTCTACAATAACGAAAAGAATTGTCAAAAATGGTTGATTATTGTATTAAAGCGTAGAGTGTTGTAGATATATTTCTACCAGGGTGATATGCTTGAAAATAGATCTTCGTTTAAGAAAACTTAAAAAACTCAAAACTTCACGCATTCAGTGGTTAATTTTAATTTGTATACATTCATACTCGTATTGTTAATAATAACAGTCTACTGTCGAAACAATTGTCGAGTTTCGTCAATAAATTTGTAAAAAGGTTACCAAGTGTTTCGTCAATTATATTTATTTGTGTTTATTTGAAATAAATGAGCTGGTATGTCTTTGTTCAGGAAAACATGAAAAACTCAAAAAACTTCACGGATTCAATGGTTAATAATGTTAATTTGTAGAATACTTTCAAAATATTTCGCAAAGACAAACAGTTAATAGTTAGTTACTAAAGCTAATTTGTAGAAAACATTCAAAACATCTAGTAAGGACAAACAGGGACTAGTTAGTTACTAAAATGATGATATTATCTAAAATACGTTTTGGCGATTTACCGTTGTTTGTACATACAATGATTTGTTAAGGTGACTCTGTTTATTATACTTTTTTTTTTGAAAAGCTTTTACTTTCTTTGCCAGTTTATTAATTACATTTATTTTCTTATATATTTCTCAATCAAAAGTATATTAAAGTCAGGAAAACCAATTGGGTTATTATTAAATTGCTTTTTGATTTCAAGTGATTTTTACAATAATTCGTGTTTATCTTAAAATTATAAATGCGAAAGTGAGTTTATTAGTTTGTTTATTTATTACTATTTCAGAAAAAATTCTTTTCTTCTTTTGAAGTCAGTTTTTATACGGAAGTGTACCTAAATTATTAAATAATAAAAAGATAAAACTTCAATTTTTTCTATATCAAAAAAAGTGATATCTCTCTCGATGCCTAGAAATAATACAAAACTGATTTTATTATTATGGTATAACACATAATAAAATTTCCAATGCGAGTAAAAGACCTGATACCAATATTTTATTGGTCCCTACTAAGAACGTTAAAACTTTACAAAAATATAATTGCTTGTTTATTTTGTAGGTAGTTGAAATTGGTTTAATAGTATAATTGCTTCCTAAAATTATGTTCATCATCACATAATTTTACATTACATATTTTTACCAAACGGGAAACAACACGTAGAAAACTAATTTTTTATGGCAACTCAAAAATTACAATTTTCGATTGTAAATGACTGAATTTGCCGTAAAAATAATAAAACTTATTAGGTAACTTGTAATAATCTCAATTTTGACATGTTTCTTTAAAAATTAATTCAAGTTTCTTAATTATTACAATTAATTTTGTAATATCAACTAAAATGCATTGTAAATTTATTTCTGCTAGGATTTTATTTTTACAAATTTTAAATCGGACCACACAAAACGGAGCGCGACGTCTCTTTGCGGAAAAACAATACTAGTTTGAATACTTCCGCGCCTTTCCGAAGGCGCTAGTAGTCTTCAACTTCTGCCGGTCGTGCTTTTACATTTAACACTATGTAGTATGTTGGAAAATTCCACATTAGTTTGACGTTGTCGTGTCGGCTGTTAATAAATAATATATCAGCGATAACAATATTGACCGCGTTAATATTTCTGAAAGTCCGTAAGAATTTTATACTCATTAATAGCAGTGAAATAAGTGTAAAAACTGTGAAAATCGACAATTGTTTCGACAGTAGCATGTCATTATCAAGAATGTATAAGTGTTTTGTTTTTGTTTTTAATCATGCCCTTTCACAACAACAGCACTATAAAATTTTTAGATAGTATGATATTTATTATTCGTTTGCAATTTCTGAACAGCGTTGTTCTTCTGTTTTGGTTTGTTCGTTATTCTTGCGATTATTTTTCAGCAACATTCCCTCGGGTGCCAAAGTGGCAATGGTCATGCTAGTATGAGTCATTTGTTTAATAAGCTGTAGCGGTCACGCTAGTTACCCTCGGGCCAAATTGTATTTAAGCCGTTTGTAGTTCGTAGAATTTGTAAATAGAATATTTNAAAATCATTACCTTTTAAATTTTTACGTGTGGTAGGTAAAAATTATTCTACAAATTACTTCAATTTGCCATTTGATTAATATCTACAGGATTAAAAGTTTAAAATTTCATATAATCGAAAGGATAAAAGTGTTTGAAAGTTAACGCTCGTGACACTTATTATCCGCGAGAGAGGTATAAAGGAACGACTAGTTGGTTACACTAATAGTAATACGGTGTATTCCAAAGCTATTGTACTCTACGTATGCCGAGTGGCCATAGGTATACTACACGGGACGAAGTGGCTTTGGGGTATGCTGGCGGCATGCCTATATTACTAGCATCTGGGTAGTTCAGGTTTCTCTCTATCAGTTGTTCTTCGAGTGCCTACGTATTTCAGCTGCGTTCGTAAGTAGTTTGAAATACGTAGGTAGTCGAGGTTTAACTGGTAAGAGCGAATCTTGGCTACTAGGATGTCTTGCCTTTTTTTACAAAAATCATAATTACTCTATTTTAGGCGTTTGTTTATCGGTTAGATAAGGAGTTTTCTGAAAGATAATTTATTTATCGCTGATGTAGTCAGCCGAAGTTTACACATTAATGTATGGTCTATGTTTTTGATTAAAACTTAGGTACTATAAGGCATACGTAATTTAAAATCATATTGTTTATTATCAGATCAATTTAAAAACTTAATATATAAGGAATAACTTTAAGTAGGAAAATGATGTATGTTACATTGTTTGTAAGCAATAAAAATTATTTGTCAGATTTCGTCTAGTCATATAACTTCAGTTCGTTCTTTTAAAGTTTATAATTTACCCTTTGACGAAAAAGAGGAAAAGGTTCTTAATAACCGAAGCAAGTTTTCCTGTATAGTGAAAATTAGAACTATTTTTTTATAAAAAATTGTTTTTTCGCACATATTGCAAGTCTTAAGATACTTAAAGGTGCTGAAAGCCATGCAATCCGTAACTGTAAGGACTCAAACGATTGCGTATACATTTTGTCTTCTTTTTATTCAGGCGAGCTTTCTTTTTTCTTTTTATTCACACTAACTTTTTTATATAATTGCTTCATAATTTTTTCTTCTTTCATTTACTTCTCCCGTCCATATTTTTAGTTCCTAGCTTAACCTTTAATGATCTGAATTCTTTCTATAAATACTTCTTAATTTTTTCTTATAGTGATTACGTATTCTATTACTTACCATCCTATTTTTCCTATGTATCAAANTTCTCTCTATCAGTTGTTCTTCGAGTGCCTACGTATTTCAGCTGCGTTCGTAAGTAGTTTGAAATACGTAGGTAGTCGAGGTTTAACTGGTAAGAGCGAATCTTGGCTACTAGGATGTCTTGCCTTTTTTTACAAAAATCATAATTACTCTATTTTAGGCGTTTGTTTATCGGTTAGATAAGGAGTTTTCTGAAAGATAATTTATTTATCGCTGATGTAGTCAGCCGAAGTTTACACATTAATGTATGGTCTATGTTTTTGATTAAAACTTAGGTACTATAAGGCATACGTAATTTAAAATCATATTGTTTATTATCAGATCAATTTAAAAACTTAATATATAAGGAATAACTTTAAGTAGGAAAATGATGTATGTTACATTGTTTGTAAGCAATAAAAATTATTTGTCAGATTTCGTCTAGTCATATAACTTCAGTTCGTTCTTTTAAAGTTTATAATTTACCCTTTGACGAAAAAGAGGAAAAGGTTCTTAATAACCGAAGCAAGTTTTCCTGTATAGTGAAAATTAGAACTATTTTTTTATAAAAAATTGTTTTTTCGCACATATTGCAAGTCTTAAGATACTTAAAGGTGCTGAAAGCCATGCAATCCGTAACTGTAAGGACTCAAACGATTGCGTATACATTTTGTCTTCTTTTTATTTAGGCGAGCTTTCTTTTTTCTTTTTATTCACACTAACTTTTTTATATAATTGCTTCATAATTTTTTCTTCTTTCATTTACTTCTCCCGTCCATATTTTTAGTTCCTAGCTTAACCTTTAATGATCTGAATTCTTTCTATAAATACTTCTTAATTTTTTCTTATAGTGATTACGTATTCTATTACTTACCATCCTATTTTTCCTATGTATCAAAATTTCATTTAATTGCTCCTGGTTCAGTTTTGACTTCCTTAAAGCTTCTTCCCTTTTTTTTATAGTATCTATTTTTATATCATGTTTTAATATTCTCTTTCTCCATGTCGTCCTTCCTTTAACTTTTCCAATTTCATCTCATATTTAAGTACTCCTTTCTTTCTTTCCTTCACCTTCTTTCTGCATTTTAACTCTTTCCTAACCAGATAATTCGGTGCATATCTATTCAAATTAAAAACCCTCTATGCATTTTTTATATAAGTTATCAACTTGATTCTGCTCTTTCTACCCTCATACTTCCACCCCATTGCAAGCTATACTAATAATCATTGCGCCAAACAATCTTCCTTCTATTTTAATCGTTTTTATACAGTTTTTGTCCTATTTCCCTAACAAAGTATTCGCCCTATTTTCGGCGAGTTGAAATATTAATTTACCAGTTATGATTTAAAATCTGTTCTTTTTAATAGATCAAAATGAGGTTAATAAAGCAGACTTGCATAGAATCAAAATTTCGTGAACAACTTGGGCGTGTTGAAAAATTTGATTTGATGTCTTAGGGTGGTTCGGAGCTGTATATTAGGAGGTTGTTAAAAACGTCGTGGATAGAAAAGATTTGAAATGGAATATTAAAAAAAATAGGAGCATAGGGGTAGGACTTACAATACCGGGATTCCGGGATCCCGAATACCGGAATCCCGGACGATTTTTGTCTGTTATTAAAAACCGGTATTTATGTAAAAATACGTATTTTGGTATTACATTAGTTGATAAAAATTGAATTTATGCACAATATAAATTTGATTTAAAATAATATTAATTAATTACAAGAAATTTTTTTTGAAGATAAACAAACAATTTCATTGTATTAAAATCTATATCAGGCACATTTATTACACATACCGAGCCGAGTATGGCACCATCGAGAAACGGCGGTGTCGGCAATTATAATAAACAAAAGATGAAATTACTTTTTTTGAAAAAACAGGAACAAAAGGAACGTATTTACAAAATGTGTATGATTTCTTAATGACAATAGTGCCGACAAGTGTAGAATCAGAAAGAGCTTTTTCGACGGCTGGTTATATTTGTACGAAAATTCGGTCCACGCTTTATAATGAAACGATTGATTGTTTATGTTTTTTAAGAGCATACTTTAATAAACAAAACGCAAGTTATTAATATTATTTCATAAGTACTTTCAATTTAATTATATTTTTTGCTTCTTTGATTATATAATACAATACGAGCCTATTATATGTAAAATGTAACATAAAATTTAATATGTACTTTTTTTTGTATCTATTTACTCCTACTCTCTATGTAATAAAATAAATAATATCTACTCATTTCAGAACAATATTTATTGGATTTCATATATTATTTGTTAACAAGTCAATATAACAACTGAGGTAAGTAAAAATACAACTAGTAAATTTTTTATTAATAATACCGGTTTTAATACCGGTATCCCGATATTTCAAATTTCAAATATCAAATACCGGTATTCAGATTTTGGTTCGGTATTGTAAGCCCTACATAGGGGGCGCTTACGAAGTCATTAAGATATAAGTAAGATAGGTTGTTGTTAGACCAATTGTTAGAGATAATTGTTATACCGATCGATGCAGTAAACATTTTTACATGTCCTGATCGAAAAATTTTTATTCAGAAGTGTATTTAGATCTTTGCGAAATTTATGCGCAAAACCAATTTGTGAACATTTGATCATTTTCCCTAAGTTTATTGGTATTCAAAATTGGTGTTTAATTTTGTTGCAGGCTCTTTTCCCTCCAGGATTCGCGCTGGATTGACGGAAATGCAGCATGGACGTGCCGGAATGTGGCAACAAGGTAAGTTTATTCAATTACTCACATTGAATTTTTCATTTCGATGGTGTTTTAGTATCTTTAGAACTTAATAGATTGAACTGAAAAAATCTTTGTTTTCTTTCTTTTTGTTTAGAAGATTTAACTTTTGATTTTATTCCTTTTATATTTCGGACTTGTAATTAAATTTATTAGTTGTTATTTGAATTTTGATTCCCAATTTAACAAAGTGTTAACTGACGTCATTAGATATGAGCAAAGCAAAAGCAAGATCAAAACTATCTTGGTGTTAATCTTGCTGATATAGTCTCCGTCTTGGCCACGCTGTTATACTCTCGGTTTTGGTCTTGTGTGTTAAGTCTTGATTTTGCTCATTCAATCTGATACCTACGTTTTTTAAATAATTCTTCTAACACAAAATTTTCTATTTACCGGCACAATAATTGTCTTAAACGTTGAAATTTTCTGTAGTACTTGCGAGCTTGTCATGACTTTTAATGAAAACAATATCGATAGTTGTGAGAGATATGAAAACTCGATAACTTCTCGAGTAAAAATTATTCTTTTCAATTTTATTTTATTGAATTACGACCAAACTAGCTCCATAAATTTCTCTAAAATATTACCGGAAAAGGTTTGTTTGCAGGACTAAACCGCCGATGAACGTATTTAATGATAGATGAACATATAATTTTTAAAAAAAAAAAATAATTATTTTTTACTGCATATATGTGTCAACATTAATTAATAAAAATTTAAATATCTGATGGATAAATTAGTATTAATTAATCAATCTTTTCATTTTTATATACGGTACGTTTTGTTGCTGTTTTAGATGATTTTGTATGTGATGCTGTTTTGGTGCTAATTTTTTGTATAGTCTTGCTTTTAATGATAGTCTTGCTGCAAAATGTAAGTCCAAGACCAAGATTACAAGACCAAAACCAATTTTGCTCATTATTAATATTATTTGGTTCAGTTGTTAATATATTTTGGCTTTCCAAACCTTGTTTTCTTCCAATCTCTTATCCATTCTCTTTTACATTCCCTTAATAATTTTTTCTACAAGTTTCTTCATTTTTCTTGGTATTTCAAAAATCTTATTCGTGCTTCTATTGTGTTCTTTTCAATTTTGGTTTCATCCCTTACGAGTTATTCTGGTGTGTACCTGTCTACTTTTAAGAATTCTTTTATGTGTTTCTCTAGTAATTACTGCATTCGTTAATAAACAAATTTTAATTCGATTATATCACAAAGCTACATTTCACAGCTTTAGAAATTTTTAGTATTTGTAATTTAATGTAGAATTTTGTCTTCTTTTTTTTTCGTTTGAAAATGAAGTTACAATAGAGATTAAATTACATTTTTAAATGTTTAACCGTTTTTTTTACATACGTCTTCAAACATCCGAGCTACAGAGTCGCATGTAGGTAACGTTGGTTTTTGTGAAATCGTGAAAAATAAAATGTCCGTGCAATTTTTGACGCGTTCAGATTTATTTTGGAACATTGAAAAGCAAACTTTGAGCTTTTAAGATTTCTTATTTTATAGGTCTATAAAATTGATTTTTTATTTTGTTGAAGGCTGTTTACGTTTTCCGGGAGTTGGATGGATGATGGATCGAGCTGCGACAGAAACGTAGGATCGACCTGTCGGGTTATGGCAACAAGGGTAGGTTATTCAAATACTCACATCAAAATTTTCATTTTAAATGTTCTTTAAAAATGAAGAGATTGAACTTAATACTTCTTTACATATAACTTTTCATAGATACCTTCAATTGTATTTTTGTTTATCATAAACAAACGCACGTTTAAACTTTGGACCAAACTTTGGTAATTTGAACTTTTTCTCTAAATATACAGGTCTTGAAAAAGGTCTTGTACAATTGATTTTTTATTTTGTTGAAGGTTGTTTACGTCTTACGGAAGTTAAATGGATGATTGACCGAGCTGCGACAGAAACGTAGGATCGACCTGCCGGGTTGTGGCAACAAGGGTAAGTTTATCAATTACTCACATTTTGATTTTTTTCATTTTGAAAGTACTTCCTAGCTTTAGTAAATCTGAAACTAAACTTACTATTTTTTATTTCTCTCTTTTCGTATGCTTTTATATTTCGCATGTTGAATGTTATTTATTAGTTGTATTCACCCTAATTTTTTACATATAACTTTTAATAGATAGGTACTTTTAATTGTATTTTTGTTTATCATAAACAAACGCACGTGTAAACTTTGGCCCAAACTTTAGACATTTGAACTTTTTCTCTAAATATGCAACATTTGTAAAATTGATTTTTTTTATTATATTGAAGGCTGTACGTTTGCCGGAAGTTGGATGGACGATGGATCGAGCTGCGACAGAAACTTAGGATCGATTTGCCGGGTTGTGGAAACAAGGGTAAGTTTATCAATTACTCACATTTTTATTTTTTCAATTTGAAAGTTCTTCCTTACTTTTAGTAAATATGAGATCGAACTTAATATTTTTTATTTCTCTCTTTTAGTTTGCTTTTATATTTGGAATATATTCAAATTTATTAGTTGTATTCTCCCAAATTTATTCACATGGAACTTTAGATAGATACTTTCAATTGTACGACCTTTGTAACACAATTGTTTACTTTTGTTTATCATAAACAAACGCACGTTTGGACTTGTGACCAAACTTTGGACATTTGAACTATTTCTCTAAATTTGTAGGTCTTGCATAATTGATTTTTTATTTTGTTAAAGGCTGTTTACGTTTCCCGGATGCTTAACGGATGATGGGATGATCGAGCTGCGACAGCACCGTGGGATCAACCTGTCGGATTGTGACAACAAAGGTAAGTTTATTCATACTTATTTAATACTCACATTGAATTTTTTATTTTAAAGGTTCTTTCGTATCTTTAAAAGTTAAGAGATCGCACTCAATACTTTTTTGATTTTCCTCTTTCGTTTTCTTTTCTATTGTGGTCAAATTTATTATTTGTTTATGTTTCCAATCAATTGTATGTCTTTTGTAACACAATTATTTATTTTTGTTTATCATAAACATATATATAATTGGACACAAATCAGTATTTTAACGTTTATTCACTTTCTTTTTTTTTTTTTAAATAGGTTTAGGGCAATTATTGGTTACTTACATTGTGTACTTTTTTAATTTTATGGCATTTATATGTATTTTAGGTACACAATTTTTAAAATTCAAGACTTTTCTGTTTATAGCCAACAATTATTAAGAATAACGAAAATTAACCATTTTTCCATTTGAAGAAGTCGCTGTGTAAAGAAATAGAATAAATTATATCCATTTTTTAATTGCAAAAAGTAAAAATTCGTCAATTTTATACTTGAGAATGACCTTTTTTATAATGCCAGTTGTAAAGTCGTCAAGTAACGTTGCTTTTGCAAAATCGTGGAAAATTCAAAATTTTTAAATTTACTTTTGCTGCGATTAAATTCGTTTTGAAACTGAATAGTAATCTGTACTTATTTGAGGCTTGTCTCTGAATATATGTATAGGTCTTGAAAGTTAATTTATATGTTCTTTTTTGCAGTTTGAAGGGAGGTTCATCGCATGGGATAAAGCGGAAATGATGGACCAATTCGACAACGGTAAGTTTTTTGAATTAGTTAAGGAATCGAACTTATATTTTTGTTTGCCAGAAACGAAAAGACATAAAAGTTTTTCCTTTCGCTCAATTTTTAGTAGAAAATGAATTAATTTTTTGAATTATTCCTACATTACAAACATTCAAAGTATCTCATTTTAGAGACGTTTAAAAAAGTTTGAAATCTACTGTCAAAAAATTGAAATTAAAGTTCCAATTTGTTATTCTGGACATCTCTTGCTCCCATGTTTTTTAAATCAAAAATTCCTTTCACTTTGATGTTTGTAACCTGTGTGGTTTTGCTTTTTTATGTTTTATAATAGTACTTATATATTNATATCTTCGAAAATATTCATTTAAATTAAATGCTGTAAAGGGCCATATTGATCTATATTAAATGCGCAATGTATTTAAGATAGTTAATTGGATAAGAATTAATGGTGTATTGCCTACAATCGCTTCGTAAATAAGCCATTTTTGCTCATAAAAAGTAAAGGATAAAAATGGTTATTGTGGGTTATCCCTAAGAGATAGACATATACCATCCCGGACTTTTTTGTAGACCCTTTTAAGATGTACAATATTGTAGTACATTATTTTGATCTATCTCGTAGGGTTCAGCCAGCGTTTGCAATGTAAGCGCAAAAAATGTGTTTATTTACGACATCACATTACAAACCTCCAAAATTATCAGTGTTTCCCTACTATATTATTCATGTATTATAGATATAAACTCTATATCACTCTATCTTTTAAAAAAAACCGCATCAAAATCCGTTGCGTAGTTTTAAAGATTTAAGTATACATAGGGACAGACAGCGGGAAAGCGACTTTGTTTTATACTATGTAGTGATAAGTAGTGAATGAACGTACAAGGAAAGTTGGTTTGCACAAAAAATATAATAAATAAGTAATTGTACGAGACAACTGTAAAATTTGTGATTCAGTGAAACGGTTCAATATATTTTCTAGCAATGAAACAAAATAGATATTAAATATTAATAAACCATAACTTGTAACCATTTTTAAAAGCGTCAAAAATTACACACTTCTAAAATTGTAAAAACATTTTTATTTTTTTTGTTTCATAGCTACCTTTTGACAGCTTCATGAAATAAAATTTTGCAAATGCATCCCATACAAGTTTATTATTATTTAGTATTTTTTATTCGAACGTACACACTGCAACTCCCAAAATTTCTTAAATTTAGACTGACGAAAATATTAAAAGAAATAGTTGGTTAATACTAAACAATAATTTTTGTGAGCACGTCAACTAAGCTTAAAATGGTAAATGGGTAAAAATTGAGGAGTGAGAAGAATTGCTACAGGTGGCTGAAAATAGTAGAAAGCTGAAAGGGATTGAGGTTTGCATAAAATATGATAATATGACTGCTGAAGAGAGAAGACTGAACCAACAATTTTTTCAAAAATTACTTACACATTAAACACCATTTTGTCTTAAAACAACTACACTTACAATTAAAAGCTTTGTTTTAAACTTACATTTGATATAGGTACCTATAAATACATACATTTATCTAAAATTTTCAGCAATTAAATTTGGTGAAAATTAATAAATGCAACCTATTTTATCAATAAATAACATGCATGTACTATACCATTTCTGGTAATTTATTTAAAACATAAAATCTATTGAAAAAAAGACAACGCCTACCTACCATGTTGGTAATTTTCCAGAGAGAGACTGTGATCAATTTCACGTTCACATTTTTTCAAAATAGAAATAATTTTAATATTTACTATCATCTAAAGCTTAAATGTCCACTTAATAAAGTCTTTAACTTTTAAAGTTTTGTTTCCGATAAGGATTTAACCATATCATGCACAAAATTGTGATATACATTTACACATGACACCGTTGAAGAACAATGCCACTAAACTATTAGAGTAAATTTGTTAACGAGTATAATAATAACAGATCGGCTGTCGAATATAAACGAGCACGTTTTTATAAAGGTCATTATTTCCGTGGAGTTTTTTGCAGATAACGAATAATACAAAAAATTCTATAATAGATGTAGGTAATACCAAGGGAGACTAAATGTGGAAGGATTTGGGAAGAAGCGATTAAAAGGATAGTAAAATGAGGTGAGGTTGGGAAGACTGGAAGAGTAATTGAATATATTTGTTTAGTTTTTACAGATATGGAAAATTGTTTATAGCACAACTGTTTCTTTGTTACAGGGAACATCATTAGGAAATGATGAATCTGGAGGACTCTTCATGATCCAGCAGGAGGGGACTGTCGCACGTCGTGGACTTCAAGATATCGGTCGCGAGTGTTTCGGGAGTGTCTGGAGCTTCCAGATTCGAACTTCGAAGTCTCCGATACCCGGAATCCCGGAAGTTTCAGGATCCTGGGTTTTGGAAACTTCGAAATTCTAATCTCGTGGTCTCCAAAACATCGACTCCTTCGGGATTCTTTGTTTTGGAAGCCAGGAGATTGGTATTTCGGAGTTTCTAAAACTCAGTATCCTGGAAATTCCGAATACCGCGTGGAGGGGACTTCTAAGTTTGAATCTTGAGCTCCAACGTTCGGGCCTTGTCCCGGACGCTCTTCGAATTACAAAAAACGTTCGCACTAAACCTGGTAGGCGTGAAAAATTTATTTTTGTCATTTTTTAAATAAAACAATGTAGTAAAGTTTATTTTTTATTATTTGTCGTTGTCACCACCCTCCCCCCTTTGTACATTCTCGCTCGCATTCATACCCTCACTCTCTCTCTCATTCACACCCACTCCCTCATTCATACAGTGTGTTTGAGAGATAGGGTGCAATTGTATGTGCGTGTGGAAGGGTATGTATGTGTGTGGGGGAGAGAGAGGGAGCGATAACACTTCCCTCCCTCTTACACACACATACACCCCTTCTCACACACACACAGTTGCACCCTACCATTCAAACACACATACCCTTTCTCTCTCTCTTTCACGCGCTATACAGCAGCCTCTCCCTCATTCATACAATGTGTTTGAAAGATAGGGTGCAATTGTATGTGCTTGTGGAAGGGTATGAATTTGTGTGTGGGAGAGAGAGAGAGCGATAACACTTCCCTCCCTCTTACACATATACATCCTTTCTCTCACACACACAGTTGCACCTTATCATTTAAACACATATCCTTTCTCTCTCTCTTTCACGCATTATGCACCCTCTGCCACTCACACACATGCACCCTTTCACACGCACATACAATCGCCTCCTATCTCTCAAACGAACATTCTCTTTCTCTCTCTGTATCTCTCCCTTCACGCACCATACGCACCATCTGCGACTCACGCACATACATCCTTTCACACGCACATACAATCTCACCCTATCTCTCAAATAAACACCCTATTTCTCAATCTTTCATGCACTATACACCCTCTGCCACTCATACACATACATTCCTTTCACACGCACATACAATCGCATCCTATCTCTCAAACATATATTCCTTTTATGTCTCCCTTTCTCTTTCAAACCCTCTGCAACTCACATACATACACGCTTTCACAAGCACACACATTTGCACCCTATCTCTCGAATAAACATCCCCTTTCTATCTCTTTTTCACGCACTATATTCATCCTTTACAATTCACACTGTTTCTCATACCTTCTTACATGCACACCCTAAAGTTCACGCTGCTTTTTATCTCTCAAACATTTTTTCCTCTCTCTCACTCATACACACCCTCCCAATTTCTCACACATTGCACTCTGTCTCTTATTAAACATACACCCTTCCATTCTTGCATGCATTCCCTAAACTTCACACTGCTCTTTACCTCTCAAACGTTTCTCTCACACATATACACCCTCTCTATTTCACAAACAGCTGCATTCTGTCTCTCAAACATACACCCTCTCTTTTTTACATACCTGTCCACTCTCATTCTCGATCTCAAACAATTTCTTACTTCCATTCATAATTACTTTCATGCTTTCATTTTCTCCCCGAAATAAACCCCCATTTCCCATTATATATTATTACAAACAGATCGACAGATATAGTTACACAAAAATAATAATATATGATAAATATTAGAACAGCAAAATTTAAATTAATAACTAAGAAAAATACCTATAAATGACAAACAGATACATACTACAATACTGGGTTATAAGTTAATTCCTACAATTTTACATAAAATGATTTAACTCCCTACTTTTAAACATTTAAATAAACATATGATTTGATAATAATGAGTGTGATATTGTTATTATTACATTAGATTCTTAATTAATAAAGTAATTTTTAAATATATTAT